CAACTTTTGCTCGTAAATTTCCAAAAGTAGGTTTTCAAATGATTGCTGTCGATTCATTTTTAATAACTAGATACCTCTTCTTAAACCAATTTTACAAGACACCACAGTAAGAGTAAACAACAATAATAATACACACCATAACTATTAACTCACTTTTCTAATAAATTAACCAAAGCAGATTGGTCAGTTTACATACTAACCGACGAGCTGGTTATTATGTATTACTACGAATAATAAGTTCACACTTTATCCAGATATTCTGGATAGTTTGTAAACTAGCCAAAAATACCGGTTAGTTTGTGTAGTTTTCTTGTGGTTTGTACTTTGGCGATAAATATTGTATAGTTTGTAAACTAGCTGGTTAGTATACAAACCAACCAATATTCATAGCTATTTTAGTAGAAATATAATTTTCCATTAAAATAGCAGAACATTTGGATAGTTTGTATCCTATCCAGCTAGTCTACAAACTAGCCAAGTAAACACTTTAACCGTAACATATATAAAGATATACACCTTTTTTTAATTTGAATTATTTGTTAATGTAAATCAACTTCCGAATAAACGGACGGAATTTCCAATTCAAGCCACGAATTTTAAGGAAAATTAATAAAAACATAATTGATAAAATTTCCGCTAAGTTGAAGATGAGCTATTCCAAAGTATGCCTTCATTGTAAGTGGCATGTTTTCCAACTTTTCCAACCCTTTTCGTAATTTATGAAAAGTTGTTATCCCTTGCCGGTTTGAAAATTCCAAAAAGGTCTGTAGTTTGGTATATTTAATTTAGGGCGATTTGTAAAGTTTTAGAGAGGGTTGTAACGCGCCAGCTTTGATAATTATCTTTTTAACGAAGTAGTGATTGTAAGTAGAAAATGAATTAAGTTCGGACTGCTTTTCGATTGCGAATTCTCTGAATGAATTGAATTATTGAAGCGACTCCCGAAATTTGGATACGTTTGCTTTCAATTATTTTATAAATTGAGATTTTAAGAGGTAATAAGTTACTTTTGTTTGAGGTTTGATGGGTGTTTCAAACTTATTAAAACTTTTAACTGAAAGAATTGGGATTTGTTGTTTTAGTAAATCGTGCACTGAAAAATAATGGGATTTTGAAAAGGATTATAATTTCAAATAATCGATTATTTTGTTGTTTAATTGAAAATGCTAAGAGAAATCATTTTCATGGCACCTTCTTAAATAAAGTTAAAAATACCTACCTATATAATAATAATAAATTGTTTATTACAAAATAAATTTACAAAATTACAAAGAGAGAAAATAGATTAAATTTATGAACTCAAGTAATAAACAAGGTAATCCATTTAGGCCCATCAGGCCTGTCTATAAAGATATGATTTAACATTTGACCCCTGATATTTCGACATTCCATCGAAAAAGGTTTGTAACTCGATTTTAGTGGTTTTACAGGAGGGTCAGAAAACTGAAATTAGTTTTTTTTTAATATATGTGGAGAAATAATAATAATAATAATAATGGGGTGGGTTGGCTCAGTGGTTAGAGTCATGACTTTGAGATCGGAAGGTCTCAGGTTCGAATCCCACCGTTGGCCGGGATTTTTTCATTTAATTTAATTATTTGAAATTAATTCTGATGCCTTGGTAGGATTCCCCACTCGACCATTCACTGTTGGGTTCTAATTAACAGTGCTGTTCCTAAAGTGGCGCTGGGAAACAGTAACAAAGCCTACACAGAATACGAGGCTAATGGCCGTAGTAGTCGACGCCGATGACACCAAATTAAAAAAAAAAAAAAAAAAAAAAATAATAATAATAATAATAATAATAATAATAATAATAATAATAATAATAATAATAATAAATAATAATAATAATAATAATATATTATAAAATACATATTTACAATTATACTCGTGAAAATAAAGGGCGAAGTTCATTTTTTCTACTAAAGAGCTCAGTAAGATAAAATGTTCTTCCACTTAACCCAACAAAAGTGTCTATATGTTTGATATTTATTACAGAAAACAAAATAAAACATGTATTGATAGTAAAAAATAAAATAGATTTTGTGAGGATTGTGTATAACAGAGATTAGATACATTGTTTATTAAATAAGAGGACTTTCAGCTTAGATTTAAATGCGTAGATACAAAGATTTTTTAAATTTCCAGGAACAGAGTTACATAACTTAAATATTTGATATTTAAAAGATCGTCTAAAAAATTGTGTTCGAAACGGTGGTGGCGTCAGTAAACCTTTAAATTTTAAATTTAGGTTATGTACATCTGTTCTAAAAGTTATTTTATTATATAGATACATTGAAGTTTTATACATAATAAGTTTGTGATAGAGGGTAGAAGCATGGTGGATCCTTCTATATTCCATGTTCCACCACCCAACTTCCCTAAGTTTATATATTATTCTTTGACGCCTTTTTATGCCATAAATTAGCCTTAGACAACAGTTTTAAATGTTTTGATTTTTATTTTTATAAGTGGTAGTTAAATTGGACCATAGACGGCGTCCGCAAAATTGAAATGCGATAGTACTAACGTTTCACAGAGGGTTGTTTTAACATTTTGAGGCAGGAGATTACAGTTACCATATATTAATTTTATTGAGCTATCTGAATTAGCTTATTAACGTGTTTTTCGAATCTTAGATCCGAGTCAATAATGACTCCTACATTTTTTGCTTCATTAACTATTTTCTGATAAATGAGGAGGGAAACTGTAATAGATCTGAGTGTCGTCAGCATAAAGATGAATTTTACATTTGTCTAATGAACTTATTAATTTTGAAGTATTTATAGCGAAAATTAATGGCCCTAAAATGGAGCCTTGAGGCACTCCTGTCTTAAGAGTCAAATATTCGAACTGAATAGAATTAATTTCAACGCATTGTTTGCGATGTTGTAAAAAACTGTGGATAAGCAAATTAGCATTATTGGAAAACCCTATATGATGCAAAATTTTAAGTAATAAATCATAGTTTATAGTATCAAATGCTCTGCTAAAATCTAACAATACCAAGAGTGTACATTCACCTTTGTATATTGAGGTGATGATATCATCAACAATATGGAGTAATGCCGTAGTGCAACTGTATCCTTTACGAAATCCAGATTCAACTGATGGCAATAGAGAGAAATCTGTCAAGTGTTGCCTGATTTGTACATCAATAGCTCGTTCCAAAATTTTAGACAGCGTCAGTAAAATACTTATACCCCTCAGATCTTGAAACTCAGTAGGATTCTGTTTTTTCGGCAAAACTTTCACTATAGCTTTTTTCCAAACAGTAGGAAAAATGCTATTCACTAAACAAAAGTTTATAATATGCGTAATATATGGTACTATAATAGGACAACATAACTTGATTAGCCTAGCATTCAATCCAACACATCCCATTGCATTTAATTTTATTTTGCATATATTATTAAAAACAAACATGTCATCAACCTCTTAAACTTAAATGTAGAATCGACAATGGAGCTATAAAAATTTAACAAATGTTGAGGAGAGTTAATATTTGGTACATAATTAATTAAGAAATTATTGATGTTATTGGGATTTCTTATGCTCTCGGGAATATCACAAGTTCTATCTGCAATAAAATTATTAGTTCTTAGTGTGCGCCATAAGTCTTTGGAATTGCAATTATTGAATCTCTTTAAAAAATAAGCTCTTTTTTTCCTTTTTATTGCTTGATTTGTATAATTTCTTAAATTCCTATTGACTTTTAAATGTGCATGTGAATTAGAATGATTAAATTTTCTCAGTGCCTTATCCCTTTCTTTCATCATCTGTTTAATTGTAAACGTTAACCAGGGTGCGTGCTTTTTCGTAATTTTAGATGTAACTATGGGAGCATGTCTGTCAAAAATGTTCAATAAACAATTAACTAAATATGATACTTTATCATCTACGCTTTCTTGATCAAACACTCGAAAGAAATATGTGTTTCGCAAGTCATATTGAAAGAGATCATCATCAAAGTTTTTAAAGCATCTGTAGGTATAAAATTTAGGTATCACTTGCTCTCTCATATTAAGCTTACAATAAACCATGGAGTGATCGGAGAAAGCATGCTGAATTACACCCTTATCCATTACAGTTTCCTCTCGAGTTATAATATAATCAAGTAAAGTGGCTGATGTACTAGTTATCCGCGTAGGAACATTTAAAATTTGAGCTAAACCAAATGCTTCAAGAATATTATTGAATTTATGGAACACCGTATTTTTATTAAGAAAATTTAAATTAAAATCCCCTAAACATACTAATTTATCAACAGTTGGAAAAATAGTTCCCAGAATATCTTCAAATTCATCCAAGAAATCATTTTCATTTTGTTCATGAGGTTTGTAAATAACTCCTATAGCTATTTGCCTTTTTTTATGGTTACTTTTATCCATAATTGTTCCCTATTATTGCCTTCATTTTTTACTATTACATCACAATTAAATTTATTTTTTACATAAATACACAATTCTCTACCTCTTGCATTTCTATCTCCTCGATACATTTTATAACCATCTATTTGTAAAATATCATTAGTGACAGTAGTGAAAAGCCACGTTTCACAAATCATGAAAACCTCAAATGAATAAAGATCCAATAAACTTTTTACATCGTGAAGAGATGGTAATAAAGATCTTGCATTCAAAAATCGTTTACTAAAATAAGCCATAAGTATTTATATACAAGTACATAAGGACAATTCTTATTTATTTAAAAACGATTCAAAGTAACCTCACAAAAAGTATTTAAGTTTCAAGAGAAATGAAAAACTAATACTTAACAGAGATTTTATCTATCCTATCAGTTTTGCAAAAAGAAACAGTTGAAATTCGAAACAATCAAGTAGTTGTGGGAGCAGCAAACTGCACATATAATGCCACATTTACTCCACAGAAATTAATTATATTCTAGGCACTGATATTTAACCAAATAAAATAAAATTAAATCATAATTCTTAATATATATATACCTAATTATAGTCAATCGGTTATAAAGCACATCTATCTGGTGATACCAATCGCATTAACATCATGCCATTCCTTAATCTTCTTAACAACGTCGCTTCCATTCGATTTGAAAAAAATTTCACCATTATTTGTCCAGATTTTACCATTCTTGTTGACCTTTTCTATCATAGCTTTAAATATTTGTAATTTATCAGGAGTTAAATCTTCCCTAATGATGATATTGATTCCTTTTAAGAGCTTTTTATTATAAAAAATCACCTTTTTGGTATGAACTGAGGAGCAAAACTGGACGAGAATTGGTTTAATATTATTTTTATCGGCCGTTTTCATACGAAAGCAACAATTTATATTAGATTTGTCAAGTGCAACGTTTAATTTGGAATTAATTATTTCTAAAATAATGTCAATATCACTGTTTGTTCTGTTATTTGTTTCTCGTACACCATAGAATATGACATTTTTAGATCTTCTAAGCTGATCACACAATTTTTGTTTATCTTCCAAATTTTTCATTTTATCTTCAATTATTTGTATCCTAGATTTCAAACTGTTATTTTCTGTTTTCAGCAGTTCTATTTCGCTATCATATTTTTTGTAATTATTTCCATAATAGCATTAGACAGTTGAAGGGTAAACTCATCTGACGTTATAAGTTTATTAACGAAATTTCTAATAGTCGAGTGCAGTTCATCCTCGCTTTTGTTGGATTTATTTCGTGTTGGCATATTAACCCATTAACGCTCAGCGGGTCGTTAACGACCCCGTATGTATTTAATTTTTTTTTCTTCTGTATTTCAGTTCTATAATTTTATTTTTACACAAAATCACTTCTTTGTATATTTATTTCAAACAATTTTTATAAATGTTTCGATTATTCGCATTTGTTGTAAAAAAAACTAATTATTTATTTTTAGTTACCATTACCCAGCTTACACCATCAGTTATGACAACACATAAAATATTTATTTTTTATTTTTTCCTAAAATGAGTAGTGATTATATGTTAAAATATCTTTGAAATCTAGTATTCTGTTGAAATACTTTGCAAAAATAATACACCGTTCGAGTTATTCATCACAGAACTCGCGTGGGTCGTTAGCAACCCACTGAGCACATAAGTACTTTTTTGAGGTTATGTAGTAATTGCTGTCACATGCGCTTGATTTGGTTTAGTGGTTTAGTTTAGTGTCTAATTTGTTAAAAATGAGCAAACAAACATTGAGGAAAAGGTAATCACAAGTAATTATTATTTGTATAATATGTGTATAATATTATTTTACTAAAATTTTAGGCGGCGACCACTTACAACCCATGAATTGTTATCGGAGCTAGAAAATATTGACGATGATGATCCTAATCAATATGATATATACGTTACTCCACCTAATGATACTGGAAACATAACGGATGAAGATTCCGGGGAAGACGACTCAAATGATCCTGATCGGCTGAATAAAAATCAGCTGTTAGCAGAAGCAGAACTTTATATAAACAATACACCGGCTGAGGAATTTCAAAATCAAGATCAAGATTTGGAAGATGATGATAATAATAGTAAAAGCTGTAACGTTACTGAAAACATTGTGGCACCCGCTAGGAAAAGTAAAAAATCAAAAAAAGAAGTCAGAACATGGGTAGACGGAGACTTGCAAAAGCCGCTGTTCGCGGAGTGGACAGGATCTTTTCCAATGCCACTGACTTTTAGTAGCAGTACGCACCCCTTGGATTTTTTTGAGTTATTTATAACAAAAGAAGTTATTGACGACATTGTAAGAAATACTGTTACATACGCAGCCTCTCAAAATAGAACTCTAACGTTATCCAGTTCAGAAATGTATACATTTGTTGGAATTTTATTTCTTAGCGGGTACAATATTCTTCCCAGACGTAGAATGTATTGGGAGGAATCAAGTGATGTGCAAAATATTTTAGTGTCAAAATCTATGAGAAGAAGGAGATTTGAAGAAATTTTTAGAAATCTACATCTCGTGAATAATGACGTAATAGATAGATCTGACAAAATGGCAAAAGTAAGACCTTTGATAAATGTTTTGAATGAGAAGTTTCTCAAATATATGCCAATTGAGCAGTCTCTCTCTGTAGATGAATCGATGATTCCATACTTTGGTCGCCACGGATGCAAGCAATTCATCCGTGGCAAACCCATTCGTTTTGGGTTTAAAGCCTGGGTTTTAGCCCTTCGTCTTGGGTATTGTGCTCAGCTAGACATTTATCAGGGTCGTCGAAAAGATGGTGAAGTTGAATTTGGTCTCGGAGAACATGTGGTTATGAAATTTGCAGATATTTTGAAGGAGCATTATGATGGTATCCAATTTTCGCTCTATTTTGATAATTTCTTTACGTCTGCTAAACTTGTTACTTCGTTGGGAGAAAAAGGGTTTGCAGCAACAGGCACCGTACGACAAAATCGTACAGAAAATTGCGGATTACCTGATGATGCATTTTACAAAAAAAAAGATAGAGGATCTTATGACACCAAGCTTGATCCAAATCATAACATTGTTGCCGTACGATGGAAAGATAACAGTAATGTTACATTACTCTCAAACCAGTTCGGAGCAAACCCCGTCCAGAAAGCCTCGCGATACTCTGCGAAGGACAAGGCAAAAATAAATATTCCTCAACCCAACGTTATCTCCTTATATAATAGGAATATGGGTGGTGTGGACCAAATGGACAACAATATATCTAATTATAGAATATCCATGCGTGGTAAAAAATGGTATATGCCCATTATTCTGTGGCTATTCGATGTGGCAATGAATAATGCCTGGCATGTGGCAAGAAGTTGTGGATTATCCCTTGACAACTTGTCTTTCAGAAGAGAAGTGGTCAATGCACTTCTGGCTAAATATGGAACTGCACCTCTAAGATCTGGGCCAACTTCAACTAGAAGTTATCCATTACCAGCCCGAATAAACGCCAGTCATATAATTTTAACTGATTTGCCCAGAAGAAGGTGCGTTGTTTGTAAAAATAAAACTATAAAGGGATGTTCTACTTGCGAAGTTGCACTTCATGACAAATGTTTTGCAATATATCATAAATAATATTGTATTTTGAATATTATTTTGTATTTTTTGTTTTTTTTTGTGTTTTTTGTATTTTTGTATTTTGAATTTTTGAATAAAAGATATTTTACTTCAAATACTTACCTTATTACTACCTACCTATATGCTATGTGCTCAGTGGGTCGTAAACGACCCATGCTATAAATCTGTCATATGACAGCCTAGATTTTTTTTACTATTTTTTAGATGTTCAGGAAGCCTAAGTTATTAAAAAAAATCGATGAAACAAAATATTCTCGATTAAAAAAATAGTGAGCGTTAATGGGTTAAGAAAAAATAATTGCAACTTACGGGATATTCCTACACTTTAGAATCACAAGGATCATACGAAACAACACTGCGGCCTCTAATTGTACAATAGCCCTTTTTCCAAATTTTAAACTTGCACTTTTCAGCACTTACTCGGCATTTTATGTGGAGCTGCGCAAAACACGTCTACTCACGACAACACATAAACGACACAAATTTCTATTAGCCGAACAGAACCTTCACCACCAATAGAATTCTGCATAATGTAGGCACCAGCTTATTGAGTTTATTGCAGTAATTAAAGTGTTTTGAAAAAAAAAAAATACTAATAATAAGTTTCAATAATGTACACTAAAAGTTTTTTGGACATTGCTTTTCCATTGTATTGACAAACCTAATTAAAGAACATTCCTTTGTGAAACAAAAAGCTGCAGAAATGTCGGAGTTTTTAAGTTATCCTAACAACACCACATCAAACAAATACATGAATATGACTAGACAGAATATGCGCTTGAAATTCCGACGGTCATTGCCAGGTATGGAGGCATCTCCATACATTGGTGCTATCAAAAACCGCACTCTGCAGGAGGTGCAATCAAGTAGATGAGACCATCGAGAATATCCTCTACGATTACCCAATATTATCATTTATTGGACGGTTTGTCTAACATCGGCCGATATAAGCAAGGCGGATCATAAGGTATCGGACGCTCGCGTGCAAAGACCTAATGTGCCGTCTCTGTAGAGAATTTTTCATATTTTGACTAATACTTAACGTTGAAATTATAAACTCATCTACCTGTATAAAAGTAAAAAGTAAAACATTAATAAAAGTGCAATACTTTATTTGTTGACCAGCTAATAGGTCATAATAGTGACAAAATAATAAACAAACAAAAATATTACCATTTAAATAAAAAATTATCATTGGAAATGCAAAACAACTCTAAAAATTTATTCTAATGAAAAAAGTACTAGAGCATAAATCTCGTAAAATGAAAAGTATATAACTAAATCCCTTTCAAAGACTAATAATAATTACCAATAAAATAACTTTTGTGGCTTCCTGAAAAGCAAATTTTTTAAATAATTTCGTCGAAATTAGTTCCTTCAGAGATTTCGGATTCAATAGAGGTGACGGCCAAATCTGAATGCCTTTCTTGGTTCATATTATTTCTCAAGTGATTTTTAATTTACTGAAACTTCATTCACCTGAAGCTAAAGAAATAGACAAGGTTAAAAAAAATCTTATTGCTGGAGCAAAATTTCTTATATCTGTAAAAAAAATTTGAATAAAGTCATTTCATTAAAGAGTTGTATACCTGTAGTGACTTACATTCACTACATATCTTCTTTACACTTGCATTGCGTCACTTGCGTCATACGCGTCAAACACCCGTTATCCCTTGATAAACTTTTATTGCATGGCTGTTCTATAAAGACAAAATATTAATTTCGATTTTGAATTTTTTACACACGACATGTCATTTATTTAACATAAAATATATATCCTCCAATTAATTATTTATTTATTTATGATGGGATCAAATTATATTTAAAGACCCACAATACCTTATATATAATTCACAATAATTCCTTTCTTCATACATGCTTTCATGATTAGAAATGTTACAAAACTCATATAGGAAGCAGCATATTGAATAGCAGCCAGATAATAAGGAAAATCTTTCATTTACTGAAGAGCTCGTGTGATCAAGAATTGTAAAATACAAAGTAGTCTTGAGTTGCTGGACTAAATTTGAAACCGCTTCATCACTGCCCTCGTAATCAAATAAACGGACATTTTTTTCCTAAACTTCGAGATTGGAAATTCTGGATCAATACCTAAATCTCCAGCAAGTGTTCCCGAATCGACAAATATTTTAAAATTATTGTAATTAAATATTTTTGTAAATTATCTAAGCCTTCAATGCATTTCTCCAAAGTTTAATTTAGCAGGTTTTGAAGCATTTTACTCAATACATTAATATTTAATAATAAATAATGCCAAATTAAAATTGAACACAATGTTTCGTGACTTTTAATTATTGATTCAAAACCCGTTTTTGTTTTAGTGACCCCAGCGATATCTTCAATTAAGGCATTTAATGCGATAATAATATTTTTAGGTCTTGTTTTAAAAGTATTCCACGTGCTTTTCTTTATCCCATCG